CCAATATTACACTATCTTGTCAAAGAATTACAGACTCATTCTCGTAATCATTCAAAGTCTTGTTTAAAATTGTATAAAATGTTGTGTCGTTTTGGATTTCCTCGGCCTGTTGCTCGACGGACATTCATTTGTGAACCATTAAAAGCTGAGAATGATGATGATAAACAAAAATTTAAAAGAATGAAAGAAATTCTTACTGAAATGAATGCAACGATGAATAAATTAGAAAAAGAAAAAATTTTGTCATGGTCGGATTTTGATAATCTTCTAGCAAAGTATAATTGGACCTATGAGGATTACGAATGTGCTCTTCGTGTTGTTCATACTAGAACGACCATGATTCATAAAAGAGAACCTAATGCACGATGGGTTAATCAATATAATGAAGAAATATTGAAAGCATGGAATGCTAATATGGATATTCAATTCGTACTTGATCCATATGCTTGTGCAAAATATCTTATGTCATATACAACAAAACCAGAACGGGAAATGAGTTTATTACTAGAAGCAACTCATAAAGAATGTCGTGATGGAAATATGTCCGTTCGAGAAGAAATGAAAAAATTAACAGGTACATTTTTTAATCATCGACAAGTTAGTGTACAGGAGGCTATTTACCGTGCAACTAAAATGCCACTAACATATTCAAGTCGAGGTTTTGTTTTTGTACCAGCACATTCAAATAGTTGTAAATTTTTAAAATCACAAAATATATTAAAAGAATTGGATCCAGATGACGAAAATATATATATGTCTAACTTAGCTGACAAATATTTTGATAGACCAGAAGAACCGGAATTCGATATTTGTATGGCAGATTTTGCTTCTGAATATGAAATCATATCGATTAATAAAAACATTAAAAATCCAAAAACTCCAATTAAACGATTACAAACATTAAATTTTGCTATTAAGAAACGTTGTAATCGTAATGCTATTATACGTTATCCATATTTTAATCGAGAAACAGATAGAGAAAATTATTTTGAAAATCTTCTTTCTCTCTATTTACCGATAAGAAGTCGAAATGAATTGAAAAAACCTTATGAATTGTTTTATGAAATAGGTGAAATATTTGATGCTCGACAACAATGTATAAGAAAAGTAAAAGAAGTTGTCTATGAAAATCGAAAAAAATATGAAGCTCATTGGAAAGAAACAGATGAAGCGGAATCATTATTTAATCAATTATCCGTAGATATGAAAGACAACGAATGGGCTGAAATTGTTGCTAATAAAGAAAAGGATAATACATGGTCAGGAGATATTGAACGAGAAGATAATCCCGATTTTAATATTATTCATAAAAGAAAAAATAAAAATACGTTCATTGACTTGAAGCAAACTTGTGCTACTACAAATGAAATAAGACCCTTCTTAGAATCGATGAACTATGAACAACAAGAAGTATTTTATTATGTTCGAGAATGGTGTACAAAACGCTTACATAATCCTGATGTCGAACCTCTTCGTTTGTTTATTACGGGAGGAGCAGGCACAGGTAAAAGTCATCTTTTGAAATGTCTTCATTACGAAGCAACAAAGATTTTTTCTCGAAAAAAACACTTAGAACCTGATGAAAATATTGATGAAATTCATACATTGATCACAGCTTTCACAGGTGCAGCAGCTGTCAATGTTGGTGGAGTAACTATTCATAGTGCATTCGGTATTGGAACTCAAAATAATAGTTTAAGTGATAATTTATCTTGCGATAAATTAAATAGTTATCGTTGTAAGTTAGGTACACTTAAATTATTATTTGTTGATGAGGTTTCTCTTATACAAGCCGGTTTATGGGGTGCTATGCATTCTCGTCTTACTCAAATCATGGGTATACATTCGAATACAGCTATTTTTGGTAATGTTGGTATAGTTGCTATAGGTGATTTTTATCAATGTTCACCAGTAGCAGCTTCAAGTATTTATTCTTCTTTACTTTGGTCTGATCATTTTGAATATGTTGAACTTAAAATCAATGAAAGACAAAAAACAAACATTTTTTTCTCACAAATGCTTAATCGTATTCGAAAAATTAAAAAAAAAGAAGATATGAGTAAAGAAGATCGTGATGTGCTTGAAAAATGTCATCAACGTTATTTGAATAAAGAATATCATCCAGAAGCATTGCATCTTTTTGCTAGAAATGCTCAGGTTGATGCACATAACGAAGAAATGATTGAGAAAATTTGCACGAATATTCGTATATTCTATGAAGTTAATAATAATGATAAAGAAATAAAAACGAACGAAAAAACAGAAAGAAAAAAAAATAGTAAGCCATTACGACTTGCTAAAAATGCTCGTGTGATGATGACGAAAAATATTTGTGTAAATGATGGATTAGCAAATGGTGTCACAGGTGATATTGTAGAATTTGTAGAAAATAATAATAAAGATGTTTCTCATATAATAATTAAATGTGATTCATCTAAAGTTGGACGTCTTCATAGAGTTAGTTGTCCACATTGTCATGGGCGAGATACAATATGTGTGATGCGAGAAAGTAACACTATTGATCGACTAGAATATGATTCACAATCAAAAAAAGGTACAAAACAATTTCCTTTACGTCTTAGCTGGGCAATGACTATACACAAAGCTCAAGGAATTACTGTTGATCAAGTTGTTATTAGTACGAAAGATTTTTTTGGAAGTGGAATGGGATATACAGCATTATCACGTGTTCGTATCCTAGAAGGACTGTTTCTTATTGATTTACACTTTGACAAATTCTATTGTAATGAAAATGTTGATAGAGTTCTTTCTCAAATGAAAATAATGAGAAAAAAACAATTAATATTTCAAGAATCTTCACAATTCTTGAATATATTGTTTCACAATATTGAAGGATTAAAATTACATTTTAATCCTTCAATATTGTGAAACAATATATTCAA